TGTAGAATAATAATAAAATATAAATGAATATTGTATGGCTAATGTTGCATGCTATCTTTCAATAAAATCAGAAATCATACTTAAATTATTTTAGTCTTCGGTTTTTGAATGAGAAAGGGGAAATTCTGAGAAAGGTGGAAGGGCGAGGTGGAGACTGTGGTGACCATGGAGAAGATGGAGACGATTGTTAGGGCACAACCTCTATGATAAACAGGTAATTTGATATAAACCCCTCAGTAAAGTGAATACTATTTGCCCACTCCCCTTGTTTCTTGGCAATCTTTCGTGACTGTCTATCTGACATTAAAGTATTTTTCTTTGTCCCCCCAATTACTGTCATCTTTCCCTTGTTCATTTTTCGCTAAAAAATGACAAATTTTGCGAATTGCAAACTTTTTCCGAAATTTTGCATTTTTTTGCAAAAACGAATTTTTCGAAAGGAAACAAAACGATGAGGAATTTTTAGCAAATTTTATTTTTTGTAGTTTTTTGCAAAATATCTTGGTGATTCGTTTCTTGAAGAAATGTGAAAATTTCAGTGAAACAATTTTTATATTTTGATGGAAACTCCAATTCCAACTTTTAATCAAATCAAAAATCATACTTTAATTATTCTTTGAATGAGGAGAGAATCCTTCGATTTGAAACAGAAAAACTGAAGCTGGAGAGAGTTCAGCAATACATAATGAAGAAAACCTATCTTAAAGAGTACTCGGAAGTTGAGAGGAGAACATTAAGAAAGCAGGCGAAGAGTTTTTATGTAGACACAGGTATTAATTAAAATTTAAAATGAAGCAAGGGGTACATGATTTCTTGAAAAATCTATCCCACTTCACTATAAACAAAGAATTTTTGATAGTTTTATTGCAAAAATGGCAAAATATAAATTTGTTAGATGAAAAGTTGCTTTTTGTTATTTTCAATTTTTTAATTTTATCCAAACTTCGTGCGAGGGGGGGGGGAGTATTTCTCAAAATAAATACACCAGAACATAATTTCAGAATTTACAGAATTACTTTATATTCCAAATCGATAAATGCTTAAATTAACTATTTGATTACTTTAGTTTGTATTCATTTTTAGATGATGTCCTCCATTTTAAAGACAAATCTTTAAAACGGAAAGTTATTTTCACCCTGAGCGAGGCAAAAGATGTTCTTTGGCTTTATCATTCAAATTCGATGGCAAGAGGACATTCTGGCTTAAATAATACTAGAATTAAAATTTCTACCTTCTATTACTGGAAGGGGATTTCAATGGACGTCACTGAGTATGTTTAATTAATCGTTAATGAATTGTGCAACTGCAATCACCTCCTCCCCCCTCTGTCTTCGGACTCAAAAATTAATTTGTTTAACATTTTTTTATTTGATTATCTAATAAAACCCTTTATGCAAGATATATGGTGTATTTTTCGACATACGCAAATCCGCTATACTCCACTTCTGACCTACGCCAAATCTGCTAAACTACACATCCGACCTACTAGCACATGGTTTTACAGCTGCCATATAAATTTGTGGCCGCAGCGCTCTGCCTCTAGCATGTCCTAGCCGCGGCGTTCGGCCCCCTAGCCTGTCCTAGCTGCAGCACTCAGCCCAGAAATTGTCTTAACCTAACCCCCAACTAATACAGAAATAAACAGCTGGTGTAGGTCCGATATTGCAGTATGTCGGAAAGTTACTAGGTCGGAAATTCAGTTGGGGGGATGTTGCGTATATAGACGATGTAACATTATCTCCGGGGGATCCAAAAGGCCAAATAAAAAATAAGAAGTGTGTTCGCAAAGAATTACCTTTCTAAGATTAGATTCAGCTGAATTGTACTTAAGGGAAACTATGAAAAACCTTTTTTCTTAAAACTTGATTAAAAAATCTGTGAATTAGATCCCTATACAACTGAAATGAAGTCATAATTTAAAGGATTTGCAGAATGATGGGCAAGGGGTNAAGTTCAAACACACTTTTTAGCCGTAGTTGTTATTGTTGAAAACAAGAAATTGAAATAATTTTTTGTTCCCAGAAAATTTTACTCTTAGTTTCAAAAAAGTTTTTGATAAAATTAAGAAAATCTCATACTTTTACATCCAAACCACAGACTTTCGATAAAAAAAATTAAAAAGTTTTATGTGTTGACAGACGTGAACATTGATCCACTTCAGTTCAGTCCTCTTAACTTTGTTTCCTCAAAGGGACTGTAAGTGTAATTTCATGTGTAAGGGACTTTGAGTGTAATTTCAAGTGACCCTTCATGCAAAGATGGCAATGACCGATTTACAATGTTACCTTGGAAAGCTTTGTCAGATCAAGTATGAATTAGATATTTATGGTTTGGTTTCTTCAAACTGTTCATATTGTTTTCAGGCTTTTCTGCGAAAATGACTTACGCATTTCTTGCTTGTAAGAATCAGTGGAGAAATTATCAGAATTAAACACTTTAAAGTCAGATAAACGATGGTACCATACACATTTTTGATCCATGGTACTGTTAAAATCAGCCATTACCATCTTTGCATGGAGGACCACTTACAGTCTCTTTAACCCAGATCTTCTCGCCGAATGTTCTTGCTGTCCCAGAAAATATTGGTTTCTAATGAAGATGATCTCTGCGCAGCAAATCTATCATTTCTATTCTTGAATTTGTTCTTGACCTTTACTCTATGCTCTACACACACTGGTCATGTCAAGAGTTATGCGGTATCTTTCAATGGAATCAGATTTGATCAGTTGATTGTTTTTCTAATGTTTTCGACGCTCAGGGTCAGGAAGACGACCAAAGTTGATGTCTAAACGTAGGTTTTGAGAGAAAAGTAAATCTCAACTATCTTCATCTTTATCATCATGCTTTTCCCAGGTATCACAAGACCAGGGGTAGATGTGTAAATGGTGGGGCACCGGGTATTTGTCCCCCCCCCTTCTCCTCGAGTTGTTTCTTTCAGCAGGACATTTTTCTGTAGATTCAGATTCTGTAGATTTTGAAATTAGGATAAAGGGTATTTCATTTTTAACATGATGCATTTTTTATTTGGGCCCGGTCACTTGTATTAAAACTGGTTTGACCTTCTGGTGCTCAGTTAGGTTTGGAGTTAACATGAGGAATATAAGCATTCATTTATTCCAGGGCCTAGAATAGGAATGGAATTTAATGACTTTGAGGTAGGTTGCTGAACTACCTACTCTAGTTCAAAACCTGAATCACTGATTAGTTAGTTCAGCGACCTCTCTAATTCGTTAAATTTGACTTTAACTTCCTCTAAATTACAAGGCATTGAAAACCTGGCCAAAATGACTATCGTTTTGGGTTCGCTTTTGGTTCGTTTTTTGCATGTTTCTTATCTCAGAGTTAAAATTTCACAATGTCAGTTTAGATTGAAGAATTTGATACTGAGCACAGAGGTCAAATCTACCCAGTTTTATCTAACATACAGGGCACATGAATGTTGTGTTTTTACTTAAAGGGAGGAACCTTCTGGGATGAGAAGGAAGAGGATAGGAGAAAAGAATGGGATGGAAGAGAAAACTCACAGGAAGTGTCCTTATGATATTAGGGGCATAAATTTTCTGGGGCAATGAAAATTCGAAATGTTTTCTCAATATACCTTTTATATCTTATGGACAGGTATCTTGAACCTAGTATTAAGTTCTACTTTACTTAATTATCTTTGAATTTGAACCTTAATTGCTTAGTCAACACTGTTAATGAATATCTAGTAAATTTTTTATGTAAATTGGGCTTTCAACTGTCAAATGCATATAACTTAAACTTTTTGATATATACAAAGAATCTATGAATATATTTGAGCAGACATAAGTTGAACAAATCCTTTAAATAGCCTTGATGTTAAGTGGAAGAATGTGATGGAACCATTGGAGAGAGAATGCTTTGTTGAAGCAGAGAGTCAAGATTCTGCTTCAGAACAAGTTCCAGTTAAAGCTCCTCCTGTGGAGGATGAAGGTTTACCGAACCTGGAAGGGTTGAGATTTATCCCCTTAAACTTTGAACTTAAAAGGCCAAGTAGAGCAAGTAAGAACCTTAAAATAAAATTGAAAACGACCTCTTACGACCTCTAACGACCTCTAACAACCTCTAATTGAACATGTTTTAACTATGTTTTCATGCATATCAAACAAAAGATGGGAACCCAGGCAATACGGAAGCAGCAAAAATTGAGTGTTTGACCTTCTAATGACCCACTACGACCTCTAATGACCTCTAATGACCTCAAAATTGAAAATGTTTTAACTAGGAAAGGAAAGCTAAGCCAGGAACCACAGCAATACAGTAGCAGCAACGAATCCAGTGTTTGACCTCTAACGACCTATGAGTATGACAACCTTTAATGACCTCAAAATCTTAAATGTTTTAACTATGGCTTTTTGCATTTCAAACAAAAGCAAGTAACCCAAGCTATACAGAAGCAGCAAAGAATCCAGAGTTTGGCCTTCTAATGGCCTACAGATTGAACATGTTTAAACTATGGCTTTATGCACATCAAACAAGCTATAGTAATTCAGGCAATACAGTAGCAGCAAAGAGAGCTGAGGCTTAATGTTGCTGTAATGACCTACAAATTGAAAATGTTTAAACTTCGGCATTGTGCATATCAACAAAACCTAGTAACAACAGCCAATACAGTAGAAGCAAAGAACCCAGTGTTTCACCTTCTAATGACCACTAACGACCTATAATGAGCTATTACTTCCCTCCTCCTTCTCCCCCCCCCCATTAAAATCCCTTTACCCATTTTTTCTGCCTCTGTAAAGTTACATGAACTTTTTGGACTTTGTCAATTAATTGGGCCAAGGGATATTTTCGTCTCATTTGTTTTCTGAGTCTAAAACTAAAGAATGCGCGAATTTTAAGTTCGAGGTTAAAAGTTCTGTAAAATAATGAATAGCTACTTAAANCCTGATTTCCCCAAAGACAAATATTAACTAAAAACATGGGCATGCTTTTTGTCGTCATTGATCTATTTGGATTGCTATATTCAATAAAATATATTTATTTGATGGATACGTTACTACTGCGTTAATATTATTGCAACACATTTACAGATTTACTTATGTTTTCAAATTTTAATGAATCCTCAATTTATTTTGACAAAATTACATACACATTTACAATTAAAAGGGGTTTTGAATTTTGAGTGCGTTTTTGAATTTTCAATTTGGAGGTCATTAGAAGGGCAACACTGGATTCGTTGCTGCTACTGTATTGCCTGGATTTCTAGCTTTCGTTTAATGTGCATGAAGCCTTTTAAATTTGGAGGTCATTAGAGGTCATTAGAGGTCATTAGAAGGTCAAACACTGGATTTGTTGCTGCTACTGAATTGCCTTGGTTCTTAGCTTTCGTTTGATATGCAGGTAGCCATAACTAAAACCTTTTCTATTTGTCGAGATCAATAAAGGTCATCAGAGATCATTAGAGGTCATTAGTGTCCAATTTAATTTTATTTTTGGAAAATAGCTCCCTATTAGGAGTGCAACCAAAAAATTTGAACCAAAAGTTTATGCATGCCCCCCCCCCTCATCAAATATGGACATCTCCAGTTGCACCATCCCCTTTTCAAAATAAACAAAATTAAATTTACTTAAATGATTGAGTCTAAATTTGATAGAACATCTTCTTTTTTTGTGAAATGAATGTCCATCCATCATGTTATTAACTATTAGACCTTTGTTCCTTCACCCTGAAAATCCTAAAATAATGAATAAAAAATAATATACTATTGTAAATAGGGCTGGACAAGTTCCAACTTTTTCAAGCAATTTTGTTAACGGTTAGTTCCAATGGTTTTTACCGTTTTTAGAATAAAATCTCAGGTAGCTGTTAGTTTCAGAGGGTAAGAATGAAGTTTTGTTTCATTAATGGTATTTTCCTTTATTTTTAAAGTTACCGTTAGTTAACTATCTTTTATCAACGGCGTTAACAGAAAATTTCAACTATTTTTACAAAATTAAAATTTAGTGTATAGATAATGAAATTGTAAACAGTGTCAATTACAATATTAACGGCATTAACGCAGAAAAAAATTACAACTTAAAAAAACGTTATTTTTTTTAAGTTTAATGCAATTTTAAGCAGAAATAAAACAAAATTCATCTTGTTTAAAAAAAATTTGTTTTGTTTTCAACCGTTAAAAGAGAAAGCTGGAAAAGCTTGTGCTTAAAATATCTACACCCTAATATAGAAGAAAACAGTAGCAAGTTATATAGCTAAATAGAAAAACGGCTAATCTGTTTTGTTAACGATATAAAAATTAACGGTTTTTGCCGTGCGTTAACGGACTTGTTCGTTTATTTTTGAAAACCTCAGTTTTGTCAATGGAACTTTGCCCAGCCCTAATTCTAAATATACTAAAAGGTGCTAGGCTTTAAGCTGAAAAATTAATCTAGGAGATTAAGTTCTATCAGAATCAGAGTACAAATCTTCTCATTCCAAAACTTATCTACCAGCGTCTTGTCAAGGAAAACGATTTTATTACAGAAAAGAATTCCTCTAATTATGGAAATATTTTATGATTAAATGGACAGTAAATATTTAGCAGAAATCGGAGTAAATTTTAAAGGGTTATTCATGACTTCCATCCC